AAAATGAAAGATTATTAAATACAGAAGATTTCTATGATGTAAAAATTTATGTTGGTGTAGAACCAAATATTAAAGAAATTCATGCACATTCATCAATTATATGTGCTCATTGTCCTTTTTTTCAAAATGCATTAACTAATACAAAAAAAGAAAATGGTTATTATATCATTGAGAAAGCAAATCTTGATGAGTTGGCCTTTAAGACAATACTTAAGTAAGTTTATTTATTATATTAATAATAACACAGTTTAATAATTTGTTTATTTTTTTAATTTAATAATAATACTATTAATATTTCATACTTAAAAGATTTTTATATACTTGTAAAATTGAGTTAGATGGATTTAATGGAGCAGATGTATTGCAATTATTGATTGTAGCAGATGAACTTGGCCTTGAGTCATTTTACAAATTCACAATGAGTTACTTTATTGAAAAACATGTGGATTACATTAAAGAAAATCCCATTAAGATTCTAAAATCAATCTATTCTAATGAAGAAAAATTTGAGGAATTGAAAAAAATTTATCTAGAAAAATTTTATGATTATTGTGATAATTTATTTGAGTCAAGTGAGTTTGAATTATTGGAAAAACCAATTTTAATAGCTATACTTGAAAGTAATGATTTTTACATTGAGGAAATAGTAATTTGGGAAAGTATTCTTAAATGGGGTCTAGCCAAGCATCCAGAAATTAATAATATTAATTATGTTAAAACTTGGACAAAACAAAATTTTACTGATTTAGGAAACACTCTGAAAGAATTAATTCCCTTAATTCGATTCCAGGATATTTCTAGTGAGGATTTTTGTTACAAAATTGCACCTTTTAAGGAACTTCTTCTTGATAATTTGTGGGAAACTCTTTTAGAAAATTATTTGGTTCCTAATAAACAGCAAAATTTAGATTTATTACCATCAAGAAATCATAGAAATCCAAAACTTAAACTTGAATCACTGACAATCAATAAAAACCTTACATTGCTTTTTGCTAGCTGGATTGATAAAAAAACTCCACCATACACTTCATTCAGAGAAGTCAAATATGAATTTAAACTTTTATATCGTAGCAGTAGAGATGGTTTAAATGTAACTATATTCCATCAAAAATGTGATAATATCAACAAAACTCTTGTGGTTGGAAAAATACAAAATTCAGATCAAATAATTGGAGGCTATAATCCACTTAATTGGAATGGAAGTACAAGTAAAAATACAACTGATAGTTTTATATTTAATATAAATAATAGAAATGATATTAATACTGCTCAAGTTAGTTATGTTAATAATACTAATAATGAACATGCAATTAGGTGTCATCCTAATTGGTTACCTCATTTTGGTGGTGGTTCTGATATTTATTTTCAAACAAATGGTACTATTTATAGTGTTACCTCGACCTATAATAACATCAATATAGTACATGGTAATAAATATGATGAATTAGAAGTTTTTCAAATAATTTAAAATAATCAAAAATACTTTTTTTTAAAATGAATGTTATTTTTTACTAAATTTTTAAAATTTCAATATAGCAGAATTATAATTTATGATTTGCAAAATTTATAAATAAAAAACATGGATATGTGTAACTATGATGTAAAAAAATCATGTTGGCAAAGAATTAAATGCTAAAGCTTCATTCATTTATCTTGTATTCATATTGTTCACAAATACGCAATAAATATAATGTATATTATTAATTTAATTTTTAAAAATATGGTAAAATACATTATTAACATTTATTATGGAATTAAAATTTAAATTTTTTTTTGATTATTAATTACTTAATATAAAGACAATAGCTGCAGCTTTTCAACACATGTCTAAGATTTCAATTTCTAAAATATGGTTTATTTTATTTGAGAAAATTTTTTACAATAAAGAAAATGATAATTTTTATTAATTGAACTTCATTCACTAATTCAATCCTGTTTCTTATATAAACTGTGGTTGATTTGAGTAGTGGCTCAGCTACACGTCCAAGAAGAGTTAAGGATTTTTAATGGAAAACCAGACTATCAAAATCAAGATAATAATAATCAAAGGAATTGAATATTTAATATCAAGAATTAAAGATCATAGTTATATAAGTTTGCAAGTGGTGATCTTTTGATGAAAGAGGCTACAAGTGTATCATCATAGAAATCTTCTCTATAGCCCTCTGGGGTCTTGCGGCCCGTATTCATAGCTTGAGTTATGGCTCGCAATGAATGGACCCCTTCTGCAGTTAGATGCTGCTTATTAACGATCATCTGTATTTAATAAATAATCTTTCATTTTCATTAAAATAAATTTCCAAGATTTTTTTTTAAAGAAAAAAATTTTTAATACCATTACAAGAAAGGTTTAGTTTTAATAATCAGATATGAATTTCAAAGTATTGATTAAATGCTTTTTTAGATAACTATGTAGTTGTTGGCAAAATGTGGACGAGACTAGTATCAAGATATTAACTATATGGTAATGTAGACTATTATTTTTTATGATGTTAATTCGCGAAGAAGTGAATTTTAATTAGTGATTGATAAGAGATTCAGTAGGATAGTAATTGGGAACCGTCAAAGTATATACAAGTTTTAAATATGAAATATAGTAACTTAATGGTTTTCTGTTGGCCATCGCCATTCAAATCGGTTGGATATCGCACGAATCCCGCAATGTAAATAATACCATTAAACAATAATTGGGCCGAAAAGGTCATCATTATTAAAAAAAAACAATTTACTATTTCTTATACAAAAAAAAAAAGTAGAATGTTTTTTTTTATTGTAATTGGGAAATTTGAGGAGACTGATTTCGTGATCTGCTATTATTATTATTATCTATTAATATCTCGGATATCGTCATCAGTGCAACCTAATACTAATTCGTAACTTTTATGTTTTGCGATTGTAATATTACTACTAATATTAATATATGCATACGTATTGCAAATGACAGCTGCCATATTTGGAATAATGAATGAAGGAAAAAATGTAGATTTCAAATTCCTGAAAGATAAATATAATTTTTGGAAGTTAAAATAATAATATAAACAATTTTTATTTTTTTATTATTTTATTTTCACTTTGAAAGAACTATCTATTATTAATTAAAACTATATTTTTTTTCCGGATTTTTAATTAATATATTACTATTACTATTACTATTTCCAGCCCTGAGCAACAATAATAACCTATTATAATCAATAAGCTTTTTTTTTTTTCAAGAAATCGTTTAAGGTTTATTTATAGAATACATATATTATTTTTTGTAATAGGTATAAAAGCCTTTGTCAAATTTATCACAGTCAATCCGTTGTTATTATTATCTGTTACGTTAACGTGTTTTTATTTTTATACTATTAAAAAGACAAAACGGCAAATCAACGGCTATATATATATATGAGACTTGATTGCCATTACCTTTTTTATTAGAAAAACATTTATTACAAAAAGTAAACCAACGACAAAAAAATGTCGAAATATTTTGGAACCAACCATTATTCATCTAAACCACCATTGCTTCGTTCAACAGACGATTTTTTTCTGTTTCTTAATGAAAAATTGACAAACGAGTAAGTCAATACTTATTTTTTTTATAAGACGTGGTAAAACTTTTTTAATTTGATTTTTTTTTTTTTGATAGTGTTTTAGTGAATGATGAATGCATAGCAATTGATTGTGAAATGGTTGGAGTTGGTTATCAGGGGAGAGAGTCAGCACTTGCTAGAGTCAGCATTGTAAATTATTATGGGACGAAATTACTTGATAAATACGTCAAGCCGAAAAAAGTAGTCATGGATTATCGTACACCGTACAGTGGAATCACTAAAGAACTTTTAGAAAATGGTATTATCAATATCATTTTAATGATTTCATTGGATTGTTTTTAAATAATTTCTTTTTTTTTGAATTTTTTTTAATAGCTCATGATTTTGATGAAGTTCAACGTGAAGTTCAGGAATTAATGAATGGAAAATTGATAATTGGTCAATCTCTTGGTTATGACTTTAATGTAAGTTATTTTTATTGCTGTTTTTTTTAAAAAATCATTACTAACATTTTAATATTTTTTGCAGGTTTTAAAATTGGACTATCTAGCAAGCTCCACGATGATACGTGATACTTCACATTATTATTACTTATTTGGCGATAAATTTGGAAGGAAACCTAACAAGAGCACTTCTCTTAAAACATTGGCAAAAGAAGTTTTAGGTCTACAGATACAAGAAGGCATGCATGATTCGGTAAGTTGCAAGTTGAAAATGTTCATAATCTATTTTTTTTTCAACCACTCAAAATTTCAATTTATTTACAGGTTGAAGATGCAAAAACTTGCATGTTACTTTATCGACTGAAGCAAAATGAATGGGAAACTCCTATGAATGCAGCGAGAAGATCATCATTGGATATAGGCAAATGCTACATCTGCAAATCACCCAATCACGTCAAACGTCAATGTCCTAAAAATTCGAGGAGACGAAATTTGCATTAGTTACCAAAATTACAGTATTTGTTATTATTATACGCAATTTACAGCGTATCGTAACATAAACATCATTATTATCATCACATTGAAATATCATAACTCAAAATTTATTAAATTATTACGTTAATCTTTCTATTTAAGTAGCCGGTTATAAAAAACGTTTAGCAATACTCTTTAATAAATGGATAAATGTTTTTGCATCACATCTTTAAATATTAAATTGTTATGTAGAATATATCTTGAAACTTTTTTCGTTTAATTATTTCAATCACCATTTCCAATTTTGTGATTCTTTTTATTCTCTCAATAACTTAATCAATATTTACTTTCTCAATTCATCTTTTGATTTATTACTACGTTTGTTACTTCTTTTTCTTACACTTTTAAGCATTACTGTGCTATTTTACTGCGAAAGTTTTATTGTTCCCTAGACATATAAATAATTATTCCAATTGTTTTCTCTAACTTTTGAGGGCAGCCCTCAAAAGAAGATACATACATGCAGGAAATAAGAAATCCAAGACTGCCTTTGTATCCTGTGCTCCCCATCGATGATATTCCAAATTTTGATATAATTATTCTTAGTTTTATGCTGGTGATACATATTTAAGACTAACTAATGCAGTAATACATACAATCTTCAAATTTATATATTTATTTTATATTCCATCCTGGCCAGCTTAAAAGCGATAGTAATATAATCGGAATGATCTTTACATCCAAAGATAAGATTTAAGAAATTGCTAGAACACTCTATTTCAACTCTGAAAAAATATGTTTCTATCTATGTAATAGTTAACATGAGACAGCATAAAAAATAAAAAGAGATATTGTGGAATATGGATTTATACTACACGTAGCTTGTGAGAAAACTCCAGAATTATAATTACATTTTTTGTTATTACCTTCATATCGGCTATTTTTTTGGTTCGGATCTAAATTCTATAATTATCGATATGGCACAGCTCCTAACCTTAAATTATTATCGAATTAATTGATGTTCTTTCAATATAGATTTGCCATTTACTATTTGTCATTGATTAGTTATTATAAATTTAACATCATAATAAAAAGGTATTAATAAGTGAATAAGTATTTTGTTATAATTTAGTTCATTTTTTATGTGGCGATAGATACCTTAGTCTTTTGGGAACTTGATTGCGTGGACAAAAAAATGTTGGATGAGTGATTTATTTTGGACGAAATCAAATATATACATTGTCAACTGACAGCCAAATTGATCCAGTTTTCTATATTAAGCCTGCATCTATCAATGTTGTAACTATATTAATAATAATATTAATATCATTATAATAAATTTCAGAAAGCATCATTCTTTGTGAAAGTAAAACACATCCAATCAGTAGTTGCCGAAACTGAGAAAGTCCATAAACATCATGATAAGTGGATGAAAGAAATTCTCTCTGGTATTGTACCGTTTATTCAATAATATCACACAAATAATGCCTTGGCATTCATCATTTTATATGAAATGGTAATAGAGTCTCATTGTGGTTACCTCCTTGTAACAATTTAATGTGTCATTTATGCCCATTATCAATATTTTCCTTTTAACAGATTTGCCACCTCTTCCAATTGAATTTCAAAAAGGTCCATTGTTGGTGGAAATTCTAATTTGATATAAGGGTGCACTTTTTAAAATCACATAGGAGGTAAAATATATTATTTCATAAAAAATTTTTATAAGATGCTGTATATTTGTTAATAATTGTATTAAAGATTCTAAGGTGTAATACAAAAAAATATTTTATCAATTTTGGAGTCTAGAGCAAGCCTAATACTAGTAAACAATATTTTAATCACTAAATAAAAACTTGCAAATAATAATAAAATTAAATCTTAAATGTGTGCATATAGTATATAAAACTCCATGAATCTGTAAGAAAGAGGCGAGGAGAGGTGACTAGAATACCATATTTTGGAAGGATGTCAATAAAAGCTTGAAAATTATTATTATTTTACGCCCTGAAATGTGTTCGTGTAACTACACTACATTCATTTATCAAACAAAATTTTTTTTCTAAAAAAAAAATGGATTCAACTATCTTTGAAATTTATTTTAACGAAAATGAAAGATTATTAAATACAGAAGATTTCTATGATGTAAAAATTTATATTGGCATAGAACCAAATATTAAAGAAGTTCATGCACATTCATCAATTATATGTGCTCATTGTCCTTTTTTTCAAAATGCATTAACTAATGCAAAAAGAGAAAATGGTTATTATATCATTGAGAAAGCAAACCTTGATGAGTTGGCTTTTAAGACAATACTTAAGTAAGTTTATTATATTATTAATAATAATAACTTTATCATTTGTTTATTTTTGATAATAATAATAATAATAATAATAATATTCTATATTTAAAAGATTTTTATATACTTGTAAAATTGAGTTAGATGAATTTAATGGAGCAGATGTATTGCAATTATTGATTGCAGCAGAGGAACTTGGCCTTGAATCATTTTACAAATTCACAATGAATTACTTTATTGAAAAATATGAGGATTACATTAAAGAAAATCCAATTAAGATTCTAAGATCAATCTATTCTAATGAAGAAAAATTTAAAGAATTGAAAAAAATTTATCTAGAAAAATTTTATGATTATTGTGATAATTTATTTGAGTCAAGTGAATTTGAATCATTGGAAAAACCAATTTTAATAGCTATACTTAAAAATGATGATTTTTATGTTGAGGAAATAATTATTTGGGAAAGTATTCTCAAATGGGGACTGGCCAAGCATCCAGAAATTAATAATATTAATTATGTTAAAGTTTGGACAAAACAAAATTTTGCTGATTTAAGAAACACTCTGAAAGAATTAATTCCCTTAATACGATTCCAGGGTATTTCTAGTGAGAATTTTCATTACAAAATTGTTCCTTTTAAGAAACTTCTTCCTAGGGATTTATGGGATACTCTTTTAGAAAATTATTTGGTTCCTAATAAACAGCAAACTTTAAATTTATTACCATCAAGAAATCATAGAAATCCAAAACTTAAACTTGAATCACTGACAATCAATCAAAATCTTACATTGCTTTTTGCAAGCTGGATTGATAAAAAAAATCCACCATACACTTCATTCAGAGAAGTCAAATATAAATTTAAACTTTTATATCGTAGCAGTAGAGATGGTTTGAATGCAACTACATTCCATCAAAAATGTAATGATATCAACAAAACTCTTACAGTTGGAAAAATACAAAATTCAGATCAAATAGTTGGTGGTTATAATCCACTTAATTGGAATGGAGGTAATAACAAAATTACAACTGATAGTTTTATATTTAATATAAATGATAGAAATAATATTAATACTGCTCAAGTTAGTTATGTTAATAATACTAATAATGGGCATGCAATTAGGTGTGCTCCTAGTTGGTTGCCTGTTTTTGGTGGTAATTATGATCTTTGTTTTAGTACACATGGTAATATTTCTAGTACTCCTGCATCTTATAATAACATCAATATAGTAAATAATAGTAAATATGATGAATTAGAGGTTTTTCAAATAATTAAAAATGAATTTGTGTTTTTTGCATAAATTTTAATGTTAAATTTTTGGTGGAATTATTTAATTCATTACTTGAATTTACCTTTTTATCAATCTTCTCAAAATAAAATTTATTAAAAAAAAAAAGTATTCGCATTGTTCACAAATGCACATCAAAATATAATATATATTTTATTTTTGAAAGTAAATATTAATTTAATTTTTTAAAAGTTATAATTTTAATAAATTGTGATTGTTTCTATATGGTTTTTATTTGTTGATTAATATAAATATCTCTAATTAATTAAATAAGCCTAATAATTTGGAAAAGAGATATGAATACTAACATGAATATGTATATACATACATATATTTTCAAATATATTAATATTAGTATTAATATATATGTCATTTTACATGTAATTTTTTATCTGTGAATTTACTAAATATGTTTAATTAATTAATTTAATCAAAGATAGTAGGGTAAAGGTAAATTTTATTTAAGTTTGACTAATATTACATATAAATAAATAAATATTTTTTAAAACAAACTTAACAAACCTTTCGTTCATTTTTTTTTATAATTAATTTTCCAAGGATATTTAGGATGGAGGATTTGCTACAGAAAGTGTGAACTGTACTTGAAAAACTTCCAATTCATCAAATCTACTTCCATGCTCTATATTGATATCATTATAAGTCCATGATTCACTGCCATCACCAATGTTACCATCTGTATCAAACCAAACATCACCATTAATACCAAAAAAAGGTAAACAAGAAGAATCACACCAAATTGCATAATCATATTCATCATCAATAACATTGCTAAATTGTACAGTGTTAATATCATTTCTATTATTTATATTAAAAACAAAACTTTCAGCTGTAGCCTTATATTCATTACCATTCCAATTAAGTGGATTATAACCACCAACTAATTGATCCGAGTTTTGTATCCTGGCAACTACAAGAGTTTTGTTTATGTTGTCACATTTTTGATGAAATGCAGTTGTGCTTAAACCATCCCGACTGCTACTATATAAAAGTTTAAATTTGTACTTTACTTCTCTGAATGAATTATATGGTTGCACTTTTTTATCAATCCAACTTGCAAAAAGCAATGTAAGTTTTTGATTGATTAATATTGACTTGGGTTGTGGATCTCTTGGTGGCAATAAATTTAAAATTAGTTGGTTATCAGGAATCATATAATAATACAAAATATCTTTCCACAAAATCCTAGGAAAAAGCATTTGATATGGCATAATTTTCTCAGTAAAATCCTCATTATCAATATCCTGAAATCTAATTAATGGAATAATGTCTTCTAGTATATTCTTTAATTTCTCAAAATCATTTTCAGTCAACTCTGAAATGTTTTTTTCTTCCAAATTTTCAATTTGTCCAATCCCCCATTGAATAATAAAATTCCAAATGTCAATTTCCTTTAAATCTAAATCATCTTTTTCTAATAAAGACACAAAGATTGGTTTTTCAATATCTTTGAAATCATTAGATTTTAAAAATAATTCTGGTTGCTCATCAAGCATTGCCTCAAAATATTCATAAAGTAATTTGAATGATGGTTGATGTCTTGATGAAATTTCATGAAGATAATTTAAATCCTGTTGAATCCATTTTTGGTTTTCTGCAACTAAATAATTTTGTAAATCTTCTATTAATTCATGAAAATTTAATTCATCACATGCTTCAAGAAGTTCACCAATTTCATAAAAATCTAAATTGCTTAAATCAATAATTCCATTATAAATATACCTTTTAAATAATAATAATATTTATTAATATTAAATAAATTAATGACAATTTTAATTAATAAAGCTAATTAGATTACTTAATCTTACATTAAAAGAACTTCAAATATTTTTGGAGATATGTTGTTTTTCTCAAATAAAATAACACCATCTTCAGATCTTTTAACCCAATTGGTTGATATAGCTGCTTTAAAATATGAAGATCTTGCTTTTAAAATATTTGAATGAGCCTTAAAAACTCTAATATCATCTTGTTCAACTCCAACTTTAATTTCTACATCATAAAAATCTGATTCATTCATCAATTTTGTTAAATCATCTACAACTTTACAAATATGTTTTAATGGTAAAGCATCTATATTGGAACTAATGAGCTTGTTAATTAGTGGTATAAGATTTTCTAAGGATGAAAAACTATTACACATCTTTGAAAAGTAATAAAAAATTTTTTTTTAAATTTGTGAAACATTAAATTATTCATAATTTTAAATAATAGATATAACTATAAATCAATGATTCACTACCATCATTAACACTACTATCTGTATCTAACAAACATCACCATTAATACCAAAAAAAAGGCAAAGAACACACCAAATAACTGAAATAGCACAATATTTTTCATTTTTCAATTCAGCAAAGTTTTCATTCCAAAAATCAATCATAGAATTTAATTAGATTTGTGTTAAATATACCCTTGTGAGTTTCAATAAAATATTCTTTTACATATTTGTAAAATGATTTAAAACAAGTTCATTGGCAGCAGCTAAATAATAATTTCGGAACAACATCAGTGTAATTACCAAATTCAGCTTTACCTACATGTATATAAAATCTTTAAATTGTTAAATGATGTTAATAATGATTGATTTATATATATGTCATATTCATCTTGTTTTGTTGCATCAGTCAAAGATTCTAAAATATGTACAATGAGAATATAGGATAGATGAATGTGCATGAAATTCTTTTATGCTTGTCTGTTCACCAACTTGAATTCTCACATCATAATTAAATTCTGAATCCAATAAGTTTTCATAATCATTTAATGAATAATATTTTTTATAGAGAATGTAACTTTTAAAAAAAAAATTGGTTTGCATTTTTGATTTAATTAATATTCATCTAATATTTGAAAATCTCCATCAAATATACTATATTGATGTTATTATAAGTCTTCAAGTTGTTAATAATTTTGCCATCTTTATTAGTATAATTAAATTGTGTAGTATTAATATCATTTCTATCGCTTTATTAACAATAAAATTCCTGTTGTATGTTTATATTTATAGAGTCCATCCCGATCAAGCCGATTATGGCCACCAACTAATTGTACTGG